CCCCCGAATTAATTCCTCGAGCCGACTTCTGAGAACAACATCCCATCTGGATTTAAAAATTGTCAGTGATGGAGAATCCAACGCGCCCCATGGTAAATTGTCCCAATGGTTAATTACTCTCACCATTAAAAAATGACGCCTTCGTTCCAGGCTGAATTTGTCCGGCTTCAACTCCCAGCCATTGGATCATGTTAGACCTTCCTCCGCTTGGCTGGAGAGCCCATTGTCAAATATTTGTTCCCCAGCGTTTATACACTGGGATCAAGTCACCCTCTAACCTCCTCTTTGTCAAATAGATGGAGGTCTTGGAGCTCTTCCAACACATCTCTCCACCATTCAGTGCAGCTCCAATGAATGGCGCTGGAGTGCCATCGCCATGGGGACAGAGTGATGGCTGCCTGGGCATTTACCGTAACTCGGGATTTCCTGGTTTCCAGAAGGTTGGATTTTGCTGGACTCGACACTCTGGAAGGACAAGAGCTATCAACGGGCAACCAAAACCCGGTGTTAACCAAGTTTTTTGCCCCCTTACCGTTAAGTTTCATCCTTGGATCTATTCCTGATACCCGGAGATAACCTGGTGACAAGGCGGCGTGGTTGCTTCGGTGACTGAAATATTAGTCCTGCAAAAATGGAAAAGTTGATTGCCACCGAATTTTGATGCCCGGCTCGGCAGGACGCCCGCTCTCGCAGCTAACGAGCGACCGGTGTTGTGCAGAAAGGGGAGCCCCGTGACATCTGAAGCAATTTGGGCTGACTTTGCTACGATTCACATCGGTGTTTGGCTGTTTGGTGGACATACAGCGGAACAGCTTGAAGAGGAGAGATGGCAGGACCCCCGCCTCATGTCAGGCTGTTGTACGTCCCTGCGGTTCCAGCCCTCAGCTCAGAAGCGGGTGGCGCAAGTTCAAATCCCCTTTCCACCTCCGGCAGAGGGGCGAATGAACCCAGGGGAGGATCCTGGCCACTGGACTAGTGGATCTAAGGGATGCCACTACTGCCACCAACTCCTCCTCTGTGGCGTGTGGAGCCAGTT